GGATATTCGGTGAAACTTAGTTTCAGTTATTAGCATAATGAGCCTTGGTTTTAGCTTTTGTTTTGAGAATAATGGTGCTGGCATTTATTTGGGAACAATTTTTTATGGTTTTGGTTATCTTTCAGATGGTTTTTTAGTTTTGGATGTGGATGATTCTAGTCTTAATAAAAATGCCAATGGCACTATTTCTAATATTGCATCTTTTTGTGATAATGATTCTATGAGATAGCATGCTAGATTAGGCCACATAAGGCAAGACAGGATGACTAGATTGGCTAGAGAAGTTCTTTTACGCCCACTCGCTAGAGTCGCTTTGCCTACTTGTGAGCATTGTCTTGCTGGAAAGGCAACAAGGAAACCATTTGGGAAAGCCATAAGGGCATCTATCCCATTGCAACTTAATCATTCTGATATATGTGGACCAATGAATGTGAAGGCAAGGCATGGAGCCCCTTATTTCATTACATTTATAGATGATTGCACGCGTTTTGGTCATGTCTATTTGAGTTCTCACAAGTCAGAAGCATTGGATTGCTTTAGACGGTATGTTAATGAGGTTGAGAATCAATTAGACAAGAGCATTAAGGCTCTAAGGACTGACCGAGGATGTGAGTATCTATCTGAGCAATTTAAAGTGCTCTGTGAGGAACAAGGAGTTATCAGGCAATTGACAATTCCTAGGACTCCGCAACAAAATGGTGTAGCGGAGAGAAGGAATCGCACATTGCTTGACATGGTTAGATCAATGATGGCGCAAGCTAATCTTCCAATTTCTTATTGGGGAGATGCTTTGTTGACTGCTGCCTACGTCCTTAACCGTGTGCCCTCCAAATCAGTTCCTTCCACCCTATATGAGATGTGGACTAGCAAAAAGCCTGATTTGGGCAATTTGCGGCCTTGGGGTTCGGCAGTTTACATACACAACGCTTCTCATAAGTTTAGGAAGTTGGGCCCTAGAGGAAAGAAGTGTATCTTCATTCGCTATAGTGAGCATTCTAAGGGTTATGTATTCGTTGGGGAGCATCCGGATGGAAGTGTGACTGAAATTGAGTCACGAGATGTGGATTTCCTAGAGGAGGATTTCCCTAACATAGGTGAGGTAACTAGAGAAGTAGAACTCTATGAGATGGAGGATCTACTTGAAGGCGCACCTAGTAGCCTAGTAGAGAATGAGGAAATAATTCCTCAAGCTCCTAGGGACAGTGGGAGCGATCTACCTGTCTATGGATTAGATCCAATGGATGAGGATTCTCAGGATTCTCAACTACGTAGAAGCAAACATGGAGCTATACCCCGTCGTCGTTTTGAGATTGAAGGGGAAGCATTCATGATTGCTCCGAATGATGAGATGGAGCCTAAGAATCTCAAAGAGGCTCTCTCATCCCCTGCTAGTAAAGAATGGAGTACTGCAATGGATGGAGAAATAGAGTCTATGAAGAAAAATCATGTTTGGGACTTGGTTGATTTGCCGCCAGGGCGCAAGACTATTGGGAACAAATGGGTTCTCAAAATCAAGCGCAAGGCGGATGGTTCCATAGAAAGGTATAAGGCTCGCCTAGTGGCGAAAGGTTACACCTAACGAGAGGGTGTGGACTATGAGGAAACTTTTCCACCAGTTGTAAGATTTGCCTCTATTCGCCTAATTCGGGCCATAGTAGCTCAGTTGGACTTAGAGCTATATCAGATGGACGTTAAAACTGCATTTCTCAATGGAGAATTAGATGAAGAGATCTATATTGGACTTAGAGCTATATCAGATGGACGTTAAAACTGCATTTCTCAATGGAGAATTGGATGAAGAGATCTATATGGATCAACCAGAAGGCTTTGTGGCAGTAGGTCAGGAGCGCAAAGTTTGCAAGCTTCAACGATCTATTTATGGCTTAAAGCAATCATCCAGACAGTGGAATCTGAGATTTCATCGAGCCATTGTTTCAAATGGGTTTACGATGATTGATGAAGATCACTGTGTGTACGTTAAGCGGTCCAAGGACATTTTTCTGATATTGTCATTATATGTAGATGACATATTATTGGCTGGAAATGACAAGGAGATGATTGTCGCCACTAAAATGTGGTTGTTCTCTGCATTTGAGATGAAGGACATGGGTGAGGCGAGCTATGTGCTCGGTGTTAAGATCCTTAGGGATCGCTCTAGGAGACTTCTTGGTTTGTCTCAAGAGACTTACATTAAGACTATTCTAGAGCGGTTCCAGATGCAGAGCTGCAAACCCATTGACACTCTTGTTGCAAAAGGCGAGAGACTAAGCCTTGATATGGGTCCTAAGACTCAAGAAGAAAATGAAAAGATGGCCCATGTTCCCTATACAAATGTTGTTAGAAACTTGATGTATGCTATGATGTGTACACGTCCTGACATTTGTTATGCAGTCGGATTGGTGAGTCGTTACCAATCCAACCTAGGACCAGCTCATTGGAAAGCAGTTAAGAGGATATTATGATATCTTACAGGGACTGCAGATTACACACTTTGCTACCAGAGTTTAGATCTACATCTAGTTGGCTATTGTGATGCTGATTGGGGAGGAGACCTAGATGAGCGTAAGTCTACTTCAGGATATGCTTTCTTGCTTAGCTATGGCGCTATTTCTTGTAGCAGTAAGAAGCAATCCTGTATCGCCTTATCGACGATGGAGGCTAAATTTGTGGCTTGTTCATCTGCCATTCAAGAAGCCGTGTGGTTGAGGAGATTCCTTCAGCATTTGGATGTTGTCACACATACTTCAGACCTTGTGACTATCCATTGTGACAGCATGGTTGCACTATCTTACGCTAAGGATCCTAAATACCACGGCAGAACCAAACACATTGATGTGAGGTTCAACTTTATCAGAGACATTTTGGCGCAGAAAAAAGTGATCCTGGAGCACATCCCTACGAGTCGCATGGTTGCGGACCCTTTGACTAAGTCCATTGCTAGAGATGTTTATCTTACTCATGTTAGGGTTTTAGGACTACGTAGGTGGTGATATATTTATGTGTATTCAGTTGAACTTGTATTTTTTTTTTTGGGGATATTTATGCCATTAGTATTCATATTTGTTTCTATTACACATTTATGTTTACTATCTTTTGCAATGGTTTGTGAATTAGCATACACAAAATAATTAGATTGATGTTAGCAGACAAGATTGGCTCACTCACACGAGCAATCACCCTTAGCGCTAGGTAGTGAGTAAGGATGAGATTAGTGGCTTATTGTATTTGGAGCAAAGAGAAAAGCCAAAATTATCCACTAGCTATGTCGCCTTGGTTGGAGCCAAGATGAGGTCTTGTTAGAGACCGACCATGGATATGAGAGTATCCACTTTTTCCATGGTGTGCCTGTTATGGATAGCCAGATACGAGATCTCATTTGATGCCTGAGAGGCGAGCAAATAAAGAATTCGAGTTAAACGCTAGGAAGCGACTTGTGCGCTTAAGGGCGACTAGACTAAGATCTGTATAGTGTGTGAGTTTAACATCACTCTTTGGAAGAGTTACTCCACTATAACGTGCATTCATACTGCATGTGCTTATCGACCTGTTAGCGAGGTGAAAGAATGGATCCTTGCTTCTTCACCGTGTGAGTCCTAAAAGTCATTTTTCCCTAAATGACTTCACTTTGTGCCTTTTGTGACCTTGGACTATGTCATAAGATGAGGAGTTGATGTTCAGCTACTTTGGTATGTTGCCTGCGGTTATGTATGATTCGGCTTTAAGGGACTTTACTGGGAAAGCGATCAATTTCAAATTGAATGATATGAGGGTGAAGAGAAGATCATCTAGTTCTACATCTCTACTCTATATTCACTGTCGATAACTCACATCGCTCTTTATAGGATGTTGATTGGGTGTGAATATAATGCGGGACCTAGGAGAGTCAAACATGCTCTTTGAGGGATTAAAGATGTTTTTGGACTGATGTAGCTAGATGGGTCTGGGTACATGAGACACTATTTCTGTTCTTTTTGGGTTGATGTCTCTATGCTGACTCATATTGAGTTTCTAGTATAGAGCTCCCACATGCAGGTGTTCTCAGCGGTTGCACGGTGCATTGGCTAGTATGAGATTGTTCATTTTTGAGGAGATTGAGATAGAGATGTGGCAGTGTCATGCCAACTCATTTGCGAGTGGGAGATGTTAGAAATGGGTGCCCATGTGGCATGACTCTTTTGAATCTTTTGAACCTTATCCAAAAGGGTTTTAATGGCATGGCCCTTTGAATCTTTTGAGCCTTATCCAAGTGGGTTTTGAATTCAAATTCAAACCTATTTAGATAACCACTCAGGATATATATATATCTATCATATAGTTGATATGGATAAATGATACACCTTATATATTATCTCATATAACTGATATGGATAAAATAAGATACACAGATTATATATCTGATAATATAGGATATGGGTGATTAAGGGAAAATAACGTATGTTTGAGTTTTTCCAATATACTGACTCTCTCCCAAAAACAACGATCAAAGCCATTTGCACTGTGGTTTGTGTGGGTGATATTCACTATTGTAATATCACCCCATTGCTGGGTTGATTGATCAGATTCAGGAAGCACGTGATTTCCTTTAATTCAGATTCTGTTTGAAAGGTATGACCATAATTTTTTATTTCGCTGCGTTATACTTTGTTTTACAATATTATATTTATAAAATTTCTTATTTCTCATTTAAATTCTTCAACTAAGTTTATATTCATTTCTTATTTAGTTATATTTTAAATATAGATTTATTTATCCATATAAATCTTCATACCTCGTATAAATATCATATTTCAATTTATCAGACATGTATGATTATAATATCAATCGTTAATAAAAAATTACGTACAACGCACATGTCCAACCAATTGACCTTTAATTAAATTTTTTATAAAATCAAATGTGTGGAATGAAAAATATGATAGTGTGTGTGCAGAGCAAAATTGGTAAGTAACGCTGTACGGGTGAGAAAGAAGGGCGGTACCATAATTAGGGTTTTTGTTTATTAATCATCACACAGAACAAGAGGAAAAACAGAGAACGCAGAGAGAGAGAGAGAGAGAGAGATGGATTCATTTTCAGCACCTTCGAGTGCATCATCCTCACAGATGTCGCCAGAGAACTTGATGGACCAGCTCAAAACTCAGCTTGCCCAGGCTTACGCTGAGGAGTTCCTTCAGGTTCAGTTCAGCTCCTCTTTGTTCAGCTTTTCTTATTTTTATTTTTATTTTTACAGTATTCAAATGCGTTTGATGAAAACAAAGAGCTAGTGGCTTAGAATGATAGATTTTTCTTCTTTTTGTTGTTGTTGTTGTTGTTGTCAGTCTTAAGCTGGGTTGACCACTGGCTTAGCACAGACTCACAATCATGCTTACACTCAACTTGCTTCTCTATCACTTAATTTTATGGTACCTAGTTCTTTTGGAGAAAAACCTTGAATTCATATGCCCTTGACTTATATGATGCTTACAAACTGGTACCCTTGTTCTGTTTCATACTCAGAATTATAATGGAAGCTGAGAAAAAATAAAAAGAGTAAATTACAAATACACCCCTGAAGTTTGCTTAAATTACGATTTGCCCGCTGCAGTTCCACAATTACATCCCACCCTTGAAAATTTTTAATTTCATAAAAGAATAGCCCATTTTATTAATAAATTATCAAGTCAATTAACAGTTTTTAATAATGTCAGCTAGGAAGTACGGATACGGATACGGGATACAGGTACAATACGATACAGATACGGCTACGGCAATATGACAAAATTTGAAAAAATAGGATACGGGTACAGCGGGGATACGTTCATAAAAAAATATTATTTTTTCAATTTTTAGTAATTTAGCTTACATAAAAATAAAACTTCAACAATTTTTAGTAATGCAGCGTACATAAAAATAAAACTTCAACAATTTTTAGCAATTTCAACAATATAACATCACCCATAACAACCATAATGCAATTCAAATTAAGGGGGAAAAAATTTACAAAGTTCGTTTATTTATTAATAAGTTTATTTATTTTCTTAAAAGAAATTAATTTATGGCGTTTAGTTGCAATTTTAAATTTTAATTTATTCGATGTTTCAGGTAATACATACAGAGTGTATTATTTTATTTTATTTTACCTTATTTGATTTATTTTATTTTATCTTATTTGATTTATTTTATTTTACAGAGTATACATAAAAAAAAAAAATGTGACAGATGAAAGGGAGAGCGAGAGACGATAGATAAAGGGAGAGGGAGAGGGAGAGATTGACCGAGAGGGAGGGAGATGAGATTGAGCGATCTGTCCATCTCCAGACCAGAGAGATCGAGCGAGAGGGAGAGGGAAAGAAAGAAAGAGAGGGAGTGAGATCGAGCAAGAGGGAGGGAGAGAGAGAGAGAGAGAGCGAAAGGGAGAGAGGGAGGGACGAACCTGATCGACGAGCGTCGAGCTGCTGTTTGCGAACCTGATCGACGAACCTGAGCGAGAGATGACGATGAACTCCCCTCCTCCTTTGCGGCTGCATTTCGACCTAGGTAGGGTTTGGTTGATTTTTTTTTTTATTTTATTTTACCTTACTTTTGATATTTTATACTTTGACCCCCATATAAGTTTTTGAAATTATTTTTTTGCCCCGCCGTATCCTGGAAGTATCCCGACCATATCCTCGCGTATCCCAAATGTATCCGAAATTCAAAAAATTTTAATTTTATTTCAATTAATATTCTATGTAATTTTATCATTGTATAGGAGAGTAGTTAGTAATTTTATTTTTTCACCTAATTCTATTAAATAAAAAATTCTAACAAGGGGTATTTGTAATTTTTCAAATCATAGGGGCAATTCATATTTTTAGCAAACCTCAAGGGGTGTAATGTAATTTATCCAAATAAAAAAGTCAAGTTAGATAAAGTAAAAATAAAAATAAAAGTAAAGTATTGAGCTGTCTAGCCTGACTATCAATATTGGGTTCAGGCCGACTCAGTCCACAAAACTGCTACTCCATTCGACTATGTAGATTGCTTTGGTAAATGGGGTTTTTCACAGCTAACCAGACACATGCCAAATGGTGCCAAATGGTGGATCCATAATTTGAAGTTGGAGCCTAATAATAGTAAATTGTGGACACCAATAATTGTGATCGTAAATTGTGTACACCAATAATTGGCATGATCTTGAATAAACAATTTAAGCAGTGTGACTACTAGAGTTTGTTGATTGTTATATTGGAGTATTCTCTCTCTCTCTTTTGTGTGTGTTTCACCATGATTTAATGTGGAATATCAAAGCCAAGTTGTGGATATTCTTTTCATGTAATTAGTATTACTTTTCCCTTTTAAAATAATTTTCTTTTTGTACATTGTTGTGCAATAGTATCAAAGCCTCGTTCTTAGTATCTCTTTAAGAGTAAGTAAGATATTTGTTGTTATTATCTTTTCATTTAATATAAAACTAAGGGATCTCTCTTCATATCTACAATGAAATAAAATTACTAGACTGGAATGGGACATCATTTTTCTATTTTGGGGGAAGTTTCAAAGTTGATTTATTTGAGCTAAATGGACAATTTTTTATTTTTTGTTTGTTTTATGTTGTCTGAAAATAAATGTATGTGAAAAGTTGTACCGAAAATGTTATTGGAACTCGTTAATTGGAGGAACAATAAAATACATAAAAAAATTCCATTCATGACAATCTAAGAAGCACTGGCACTTCTGTGAAGATGGTGTGTCCATATTGGACACCGACACTTGTGGGATACTTCTCGACACGTCTCAGACACCTTCAAATATGTCATATTATTTTTTATTTGTTTTTTTCGAGAATAAAATACACATTCAGTTCCAAAAGTATGCATTTTATACTAAGAAGCACAGACAATTCTATAGAGGTGTTTCGTGTTGAACACCTATGTCGGACACGATACTCTACAATGTTAAAAAGCATGTATGACACTTCTTCAATGTGTCTTAATTAAAAATGTAAATTTATAATATCGGACACTTTAAAAACACTTCTTGGACAGTTTGAAGACACTTCTTGAACCATCCGAACATGACCTGTGTGATGAAACTCTTTATAGTAACAATGTTTTGTATTATTTGGAATATAACGTATCCACTCCAAATATGTTTTGAAACACATATAAGATAAATACATAATGTGTATTTCTATATTCTACAATTGTTTTGCATTCTTTAGGGTTGGCCTAGCGGGTGCAACTTGAGGCTTGAGGGTGTGCCTCCTCCAGGTCTCAGGTTCAACTCCCACTAAATGCTATCAACTCCTTGGGTCACACCCGTGAGCTCTGCCAGATCCATTTGGAGGGAGCATTTTGCGTGGGTTGAAGGAGTAGTTGAGATGCACGTAAGCTAGTCCGGAAACCCAGTTATCAAAAAAAATTGTTATGTGAATGATATTTTGATGCTTAAGTTATGGAATATATGACTTTTTAATTTTATTTTGTATTATGTTGTTTTCTTTGGCTACTTTTGAATAAACTATTCATATATTTCACATATAATTTTGACGTGTCCCAGACGTGTCGTGTCATACCCTGCATTTTATGAAAATCAACATGTCGGTGTGTCCGTGTTGTGTCACATGTCTGTGTTTGTGCTACTTAGGTTTTATATAACTTAAATCCTACAAATTTCAATTTTGTCAATTTTTTGAAGTATCCGTGCTTCATAGGTTGCAGGAGTAGTTGAGATGCACGTAAGCTAGTCCGGACACCCAGTTATCAAAATAAATTGTTATGTGAATGATATTTTGATGCTTAAGTTATGGAATATATGACTTTTTAATTTTATTTAGTATTATGTTGTTTTCTTTGGCTACTTTTGAATAAACTATTCATATATTTCACATATAATTTTGACGTGTCCCAGACGTGTCGTGTCATACCCTGCATTTTATGAAAATCAACATGTCGGTGTGTCCGTGTTGTGTCACATGTCTGTGTTTGTGCTACTTAGGTTTTATATAACTTAAATCCTACAAATTTCAATTTTGTCAATTTTGTTCACAATGTTTTTAATTTTAGTCAAATTGGTCAATGTCAAACAGATTGTTTAAATCACTAACATATTTATCCTAAAATACACTTGTAGTCTCTAAAGTATGTGTTCCTTGTCATTTTGGCTCTCAGTTTTTAAAAAAGTTAATTTCATCTCAGAACATTGTCGAGTGTATATTTTGTCTTCCTTATCAGTGTTTAGGATGAAAATGAAAAAAATTAAAATTGAGAACCAACGTGTAGGTGATGAGTATTAGAGGTGGTCAGTTGTGGACCTTTGGGAAGATAGCAGACACTTCAATGCCTCGAGATCACCAAAACTGGTACAAGACCAAGGCAGCCTTTGAGATAAGAGGGTGACAGTGAGAGATCTTGAGCACTTAGGTTATAGGTGCGTGTAGGCTGTTAGGAAATCAGCTCTTTCTAACCAGGATTAGTGAGACACAAAATAGTAAACAAGAAAGATAAAACGAATTGAAAAAATCACATACACAAGAAACACAAAGATTTACGTGGTTCATCCTAGAATAGGTCCACGGTTGTTACGGTTTTTAGAAAAAACAATTACAACTCTTTACCTCAAAAGAGGTGCCTCCTCATCTATTTATAAACATTGAAATTATGGCAACGTGGAGGCAACAGGCCCCAAACTTCTATAAGCTATTATAGTGTTAGAAAATTAAATAAGGCCCAATATAATTTAGGACTTTTTATAAGTTAAAGGGCCCAAAAAAATTCTCTTGGTTTTGACAAATTAACAAGCCCAATCTGATTTAGTTTCTTTTGGGATTTTGATTACAATTAAATCCATTATTATTTTTTTTCAAATTTTTTTTCCTTCTATTTGACTAATAGTTTCAATTGTTTTATCAATGTTATGAAACCAAACCATTAAGTGAATTGGAAAGGAGACATGATTAAGTGTTAATGGTTCGACTATCGAGTCAACCAAAATCAAACTGTGATGTTATAATTACTATGAATAAAATATAAGTATTAAAATTATAAAAATACATACTTATATTATCAATTTATTTTTATTTCAAGATTTAAATTATTATATATATATATATATATTGTAGAAAATCATTGTAATGATTTTTAATAGAGTGGATAATCATAAATAATATATATTTTTGTACATTTGTAGCAAGCCAATGTGTGGCTTGCTGGTC